ACATTCTAAATCATTACATCTTAAAGACATCTTCTAAACGTCTATTTGACATCTGTCAGGAAACGTCATATAGACGTATTACAGATGAGCAAACACTATAAAAACATGTCTTCCAGGACGAAGACGTACATCTGGAAGACGTATTTTTAAGAGTGTTTGCTCATCTGTAATAGTCTATAGGACGTTTCCTGTCAGATGTCAAATAGACGCTTAGAAGATGTCTTTAAGATGTAATGACTCAGAATGTATGTTAACCCCAGATGTTAGCAAACAGCAGATGCTTTCCAGTTGAAGTGATCTTTAAGATGTCATGTTTAAGATGTCAGTTTAACATGCATTCTAAATCATTACATATTAAAGACATCTTCTAAACGTCTATTTGACATCTGACAGGAAACGTCCTATAGACGTATTACAGATGAGCAAACACTCTTAAAAATACGTCTTCCAGATGTAAACACACACATCAAATAGACGTCTCAGTCGTGTCCGAAATCGCCTATTGAGGCAGGCAATTATTATTTTTTTGTTATTTACTTGCGACCGTTAAAAAATTATGCTCTATACAGCCTCGGTATAAATGTAATACAGACATATGTTGTTAATGTCACGTGACCTAACGGCGTCCGTTACGGCGCTTCACTTCCATTCACAAATCCTCTCTTGTGGACTTCAGAATCTCAGCAGAAGTAGTTGGTCAGTCGAGATCGAGGACTTTATTTTCTTTTTTTTTTTTATACTTCATCGGAATGGTACGAAACTTTGTAAAGGTTTTGGCATTTGCTATAATGCTAAATACAATTATATACAAGATTTTAAAAGGTTATATTCCTGAAAGATATGGTCACACTTGACCACATTGAAAACTATTAAAAACTAACGGGAAGCCAATTTCATCAACGTTTGGAATATTGCGCCCAAACAAAATCTCAATGAAAGCTTGTTCTTTGCGATATCAACCTTAAATTTGGAACACAACTTGTTTAGATTTATGGCTTTGATTTTCTCACAGTTTTAGAGTAAAACGTGTTTTAAAAGATACATTTCATATACAATTTTTGAAATAGTATTTTACACTATTACATAATTTTTTATTTTATTTTATTTTTTACCTCAGCAACAATCTGCCTAGTGTGAGACCACAATTAAGTCTTAAGCCTCCAAAGCCTTCAAGATTTACAACAAGTTGGAAATGTCATTTTCATGTCTATTCATAAAAACAGCTAATGAATGGATCACAACTATTCCATAAATATAATTACGTACCTTAAAATTCCCTAAAAATACAAAATTTTAAATAAAAAAATATCAAACCAAATTTTTTTACATTCATTTAATGGAGAAAAGAAAATCTGTAATTTTTCACTGTCACACGAGCAGCACCAGAGGGCTAAAAAAAAACTCCTCTGCAAATATTATTGAACACTGAATCCACTAAAAAATTATATTTCTTAATATAACACTATGTAATATTTAATTAAAATATACAGTACCACTCATGTCACAAACTCCGCCTCTTATCTTACCACCCACAATGGGAAGCTGATTTGGGTCCACTGACTCCTGCTCACTAGATAGTCGACGAGGGGGACTATGATGAAACGCCTCCATCTGAACACCACACAAGAGCAAAACGAAGAGAAATGAGGGTAAATATGGAGATTGCATACTTTCCATGTCAGAGATAAGATTGTTGAGATTAAATGACTCCATTCAAAAAAGTTAGACATAACTTTAGTTGACAAAGCAGTTAAAGTTAACCCATATGGAAATGGATTTATTTGCATAGAGCTCTTTCGGATCTTATTGTGCTTACTGTAGGTCAAGACTGTGATGTGCATACATTCTGGACCCAGAAAGTGTTTTGCTACATTGTTTGCATTCAAAGGTAGCAATAGTTGTCTGACAAATTTTTTTCCTTTGTTTTTTTGAAAGGAACAAATTAATATGTTATAACGGATATTATGTTATTTTTCGGAAGTTCATAGAATTGTGAAGTGGACCTATTTTTCCATTTGTTATAAATTGTTTTATGTAACTTGATTATTTTGTAATCTTTCATCAAAATGGACGTGCCTCTGAAATGACCTCTCTTTTCGACTGATGTCGCTTTGGCTACACTGGCTTTTTAATAATAATTGGAACAAATAACAAAGTAGCTTTTTAAGTATTGTTTTAGCCATTCTGGTATTGGCCACTTACACGATCCAATCAATTCAATTTTTTTTTTCATTGAATATCCTTTTTCAAATATAACAGATATTAAATCGGTTATGAATGCTGTTTCATGTTGACTTTACAGTCGGCATGAAACAGAAGTTTCCGATAGTATTTTCTTTCCTTTTGTGTAGTAAATCCAACTGAAACTTCTCGAAAAGGAAAAAAAAAAAATAGGATGAGACTGGATTTTTCCAATAGCAATTGATTGGATGGTTGTGGTATCGTCAGAGAAGAGATGTCACTGCAAGATGGTGGGGAAGTTATTTTGAATAAAGATTAAGGGCAAATTCTTTAAATAATAATCATAATAATTATGTGAATGGATAAATCATTTACAATAAATACTGCAATATTCCATAAAAACAAGAACTGTCAATTTTGGTTTCATGGTGACTTTAAAAAAAAAAAGGAGGGTTTTTACAGAAGAACTTTAAACAGTGCTGGGTTGTGTTAACCCAAATTTGGGTCAAATATGGACAAACCCAAATGTTTACAAGATGTAAAATACATTTCTGATGTCCCCAGAGTGAGTATGTGAAGTTTTAGCTCAAAATACCCCACAGATATTTTTATATAGCATGTTAAAGTTGTCACTTTTTGAGGGTTAGCAAAGATACACAGTTTTGTGTCTGGCCCTTTAAATGCAAATAAACTGCAAGTCCCGACACAGTGGGCGGAGCTTCAAGTGTTCAAGAGTGCAGCTCCAATTACCTCACGCAGACACGCTAAAATGTCAGAAACTATTCTGCCTTTTATGTTTAAACTGGAGTCAGACAAAGATGGAGAGACTAAGAAGAAGTGACGACGTGTAGAATGCAACAGGACTTCTCTGAATGGTTAGTTGATGACTTTATGTTGCTGAGGTGGAGTTAACTATTTTCAATAAGCATATTCTGTCATGTCATATAAATCGCTTGTATAGGAACTGTTGTTGCACACAGAATAACTTTCTATTGCCTGTGAAAAGACGAATGCTTAGTTTGAACTGACTCGTGCTTAACTACAACAGCTCTTCCTCTTCTCAACATGGACTGCGTTCCAGGGGGCGGGGTTTATGTAAATTATAGGGTTAGTGATGTCACTAACTCGGGAGGAAGCTTGTGGAACACATTAACTAAAGTTAGGAAAGTGACATCATAATCAACCACCCCTTTAATTCCACAGATACTACTAACTGGTTAGTGTGTTCACTAGGTTGCTTCAGAGGCATAAGGATACTATAATAAAACAATGCATTGACATACTTTTTACTTTTGATACTTACAAACTTTTAAAAACAAGCACTTCTTAAGCAAAAATCAGTCTTTACAACTTTATTTGTAACAGAGTAATATTTGACTATTATCTGTACTTTCACTCAAGTAAGGAAGTTGTGTACTTTGTCCACCTCTGCTTTTGGCCTAATTTTTGGTGGTTTGTTGTTTTTAGTCTTATATCATAATTGATTTTATATTCACTCTGGTTTCACTGATGCCTATTCCTAAGTAGAGTGAAACTAGTCCATTGATCCTCCCAGGGAACAGCACACTGTAATAAGAGACACTGTCAGGCACATAAGGACTTCTTTGTTGTTGAACTTCGAAATGTTTGAAAAATATATTTTCATTCCAATTTTCATAATCAACTTTTATTTGTTAGGAGCATGTTATCTGTGGAGAGTAAAAAAAAAAGATTAGTGTAAGATATTATTGGTAGATTTTATTAAATTAAATCATAAATTGTTTCAGTCAGAGACAAAAAAAAAAAACTCATCTCATCCCATTTTTAAAAAAATCTTATATTAATAGTAAATTAGTTTTTATCATTGTAAATACTTTTTTAATGTCTGTTAATTTTTATTTTAAACTAAACATGTAGTACATTAAGTTAATTTTATTTCAAGTAACAAAAATGTTTTTTATGGTTTTATTTTCCGTTAACAATAAAAACTGTGCAAAGAAATTCAATTGATGATGTGAATACCATGCACCAGGAGAAACTGAGCAAAAACAACTAAATTTCTTTGTCAAATAATAAAGTTTAAAAATATGTCGGAACTATACGTAAATACTGTCAGTTAATATATAGTTCATAATGTTTAATCAGAAAAAATGCAGATAAAAATGAACAATAATGTTAATCTTTTTACTGTTTGTGATTATAACCAAATATAATTTAACTAAATTTGAACAACAATGTAAAATGGCACATTAACAATAAATACACATTATTGTAAGCATCACATGATGAGGTTTAGTTTGGACTGAGTACTGTGAATTACTTTTATTTAGTGTTAGAGAAGGTAATTTGAAACTTTTGTCAGCTATAAAGTAATTTAGCTAGTCATGTCCACATGCAAGGTAGTGAATCAGGTCTTGCAAACCAAAGCATCCCAGCTCCATTCGTAAGAAAGAGTGACCTTGTAACTGGAGAGTTTCATCACGTTGTCGTTCCTGGCAGACTGTCCTTAACGGTGCTTTTGCCATCCACCAACTATTAAGAGATGCACAGGTTGGGCACAAAAAAGTTATTGTTTTTCTAGAACTTTGATGGAAATATAGTAAGGTCAAAACTATGGTCTAAAAAAAGGAACTACACCCCACCCCTAGTTTTCCTGGCTATAATAACAGGAAATGATGATCAAGTGAAAATATAATAGAAAAATGTTGTGACCTTCAAATACTTTAAAATGCTATTTTTATACCAGAGGAAACTAGTTGACACCACCCAATTTTAAACATCTGCATTTGTTTTTTACAGCCCAAACTGTTAAATAGGATACAATGACAATACAGAACTGCTCAAGGTAAATTCATTTTTATTCTTTTTAGTCATATAGAGCTCAATCTTTAAGATGAGTTTGCTAAAACGGTCTATTTGTCAGTACAATACGACACTGGTTTTTTGGACATCCATTCGATGACAAACCCCTTAACTACAAATCAAATCTGCTCACTCCTGCAGGATTCCATATTTGGAGTATGTTGTGTACCATTGCATTAAGGGCCAGATTTACTAAACAGGAAAAATTAGCATTCCCATAACGACCAACGCGATCTACTAAGGGTACGTTTACACGACAGCGATATGCTTAAAACATTTTAACTTGTGTTTTCCACGTGCAGACGACACCTTTGTAAAAATCTGTATCTGTGAAAAAAACTAAAAACGCTGTAATCTGCTGTCAGCCATTGCCCAGATAGCACACGCACGTCTGCAAGATGTCTGTTAAAGATCCCTTCAGCTGGAAAGCATCTGCTGTTTGCTAACATCTGATAGAGATCTTTAAGATGCCAGTTACATTCTAAATCATTACATCTTAAAGACATCTTCTAAAAGTCTATTTTACTTCTGACAGCAAACGTCCTATAGACGTATTGCAGATGAGCAAATAAAAATGTGATGTGTGCGTTTACTTCCAAATGTAAACACACACATCAAATAGACGTCTCTGTGATGTATGTGTGCTATCAGGGTAGACGGCGATGAAACACTATAGATTTAACACGTAATACGTGGTGGGCATGATGTCATCGTTGTGTTTTTGTTGTTTACACATCGACCGTTTTCAAAAACTTGCTCTTGCTGCCATTTTGTTTTTAGTTGAAAACGGTTTTGTGTAAACAGCCCCAAAGGCCTTGCACACTGAATCCGAAATTCGCGTTAAAAATGTTCGCACGTTAAAAAAAACAAATACGACCTCATGTTATGTCAATCACGCTTGCACATTGCTTCCGAAACTTGCGTTTTTCGCAACCGCAGCAAGCAGTTTGAATGGTGTTTTGACAGTTCAGAGCCACCGAATCACGAATATGAAAAAACGCACAAGAAAACTTCAGACCTTAGCATAGGGTCGCTAACATAATAGGGTGCAGGTGATCTACTGACAACATAGATTAAGATTGCAAAATAGATTAAATTGACTAGCACACCTGACCTGTAAATTGACTTCGTGAATCACCTTGCACGATTCATTTAAAAACTCTCCAGCCATGAATTTTGCGTCTGAAAGGGAAACAGGGAATTGTACAAATGCATATACATTAAAGTTAGCTGCAAAAATAACCCTGTCCATGCCTTTCCAGCTAATTTTTCACTGTGTTTTTAGTAAATCCTGACAGTAGTTTTTTAACAGCAAAAGAGGGTTTGTGCTGTTGCAAGCTGTTAGTAAATCTGGCCCTTAGTGTACAAAATGTTGTGTACCAAAGCAAAGTTTTCCTCCTATCTTATAATAAAGATCTGAGGTGACGGAGTAAACCAATGAATTTTAACATGGTGACAAACAAATACTTTTTTTTTTTAATCATCAAATGACACAAAGTACAATTTATATATATAAAAAATATGGTCCACTTTGAAAATATTTTTGGATGACACAAATTCGTTTTGCATGCACCAGTTTTGGATATTTCTGCCAAAACCCCTGCCATCATTTGATTCAGCCGGTCAAGAACAGCCTATCATTGTTGAAATAGACAACAATGCAAAAAACACATTGTGCTTAAAGGTTTATTGGCGTTTACCCTATGAAAGCATGGTCAGTGTTTGAGAACACAGGTGGCTACAGTCATGCTAATGACCACCAAGCTTAAATTAATATAAATGACACACAAACACAGTAGATTCAACTAGACAACTCTAAAGATAATAGACAAAATACTGAATGGGAAAAGTACAGTTAGCACTTTGTACATCATGTTTGATTTCAGTCTTAACTGTTGTCTGTTACATATTGGCCACTTGAGGACTCTCTTTGGCCTGGCGCATTCCATAAAGCCACTTGATCACTCGAGCATTTCTCTCGATGACGGAAACGCCATAAACAGGACGTTCATCTTTTGCTGCTTCTTCTTCCTCGTCTTCACCCTCAGCCGTACGCTCGGAAGCTGGGGCACTGGCGCTACGAAGACGTGAAACGGACACAATGTCAGAACCTGGTGTTCCCAGCTCCTCTAAATCCAATGGGTCAAGGCCACAGTAATTAAAGAAGCGCTCGAGCTCTACCCCGGCTCGTGAAAAGCAGTCGCTGACATCAGATTTTGAGCGCGTCAGTGAAGGACGCTTCCTGGAGCTTGTTGAGGAGAGCCGAGTGATGGCCGGAGATGGTGGGGACTGGATGTCATTTTTGGCTAGGAACGAAGCAACGGGGGTTGGAGTCTTTTGGGTCGGAGAGGGACACGATAGTGGTTCTGTGTTTGGTTTTATGGGGAGAGGGCTAGATGGGGATTTAGAAGAAGGTGAGGTTTGTGCAGCACCGTTTGGTGGTTTAATAGGTCCTCGGTTGACGTTCGTGACATTGTGGAAACTTTTGAAATCAATTGGTTGCTGATTTTGCTGTGTGTATGGTCTAAGCAAGCGCAGAAGTTTTAACGGGACCTGCGACGTGGACAGTTGTACCTGTGAGCGGTTCTGTAGCGGTGGTCTACCGGCCATCCTCATTTGAGGTAACTGCGGTCTGACATCGACTCTCCGCACCGTCATGGTAGGACATCCGTTAACCCCTGAGGCTTCTACCGCAGCTTTTGCTTGACTTGAAGTTGACCCGACAGAAGGTTCATCCAGCTGACTTTTTGTTGGAGAGATGGCCTTGCATGTGTCTGTAGCATCTTGAGCTTTCCCAGTGCTGTTGGTTTGTGTAGAAACGACCGGAACGGTGGTATCGCCGACTCCATCGATCAGTTTGCAAAGATGTTCCAGGTTAAGGGGTGGCGTTTCAGACTTGGTGGGTTTTACAGCGATCTTCCTCGATGGCTGTTGAGCAGCTTGTCCACTCTGGTTGTTGTTGTTGTTGGAGGAACAAGTGACTGGGTGCTGCTTTTTCAACGCCACCTGTTGAGTCTTGACGTACTTGGCCTTGTCTGCTTCCAAACGTTCCACCGCACTTGGTTTGCGTATCCCTGGGGATGATTTGACTGGACAACTTAGCTCTGGGTTGCGACTCGGTGTGCCAGGAGTTACAGCCAGCTTTATTATTCTCCGTGGAGAGGGCTGTACGGCGTCAGTTGACATCCTTTGAAATGAAAAACTTCAGCTGTTTTATATATGGTTTCTTATTTCCTGAAGTAGATGAATGGACTTATTGCCAGTATACTTCCACATTAACACTTTGGATACCTGGGGGAACAGAAATGATTATGAAAAACAGACAATTGCAAAGTCTGGCTAGACAGCCTACTGTTTAACAACATTGTAATGGTTTCATAAAGTAGAAGAGCATTTGCCGAGGATAATGGGAGTGGTGCTTGACTGCATCAGTCAACAACCACAGTTCTAGGGCATTGTGGGTTAGTTATTATACCAGAGCATTGTTTGGGTGGTTTCTTACTGGCCCAAAACCCACCCCCAAGTCTCTATTCAGTTGTTAAGTCTGACATCATGCAGCACTGTTTCCTCAGAGCCCAACAGCAAACAATTAACATTGCTAATATACACACACAGCCCAGAGAAGAGCTCTCTAAACTTAGTTTAAAGGTGTGCTACATATATATATGAAGTGTTCATAAATGGCTGCTGAGAGTATTCTTACTTTAAACAGAGTAAAGGAGTCATATTGATATACAAGAATTCATTTGGATAAATGATCATAAGATTTTGGCCAAATTGTGCAGCCCTACAAACAAAGCACAGCAAACATTTTCTACAAACAAAATCGAAAAATGTATACATGCTCTCTGAAAGTCTGAATCACCCAGCCCTAATTCGATACCTCACGTGCTTTTCCACCATCCGGCCTAACGGTTCTGATGAGTAACGGTACCAGTAGCATTTCCATAAGAACATGATTGAGTATGGTATGATATAAAATCTCCCACAGATGTCTAAGCATGGATTGCTAACGTTAGGATAAGAGAACTGTACAAGTTGAATCGTTTTATACCTGTAATACAGACTATAGCCGCTTTCCGACCAAGTAGTTACAGGAACTTAGTTATAGGAACTGTCCACTTCTAAACAGTTCTAAGAACTACTCTCCCCCAAACTCGGTTTTGCTGCTTGCGTTCGCACTGGCCAAGTGGCCATAGGAACTGGTAGGAGGGGTGACGCAAGCATGGCGACGGGCTTTATAGCGTCATCACTAGACGTAGCGCGTAGCGCGGCTATTGCAATGTTCCTGTTCTGCCTTGCCGGGACTTTAATAACGGAGAACGAACGGCTGCGTTTAAAGATTATGCTTGAGTTCTGTACAGAGAAACACAGAAGACGAAGGCTCCAGCGTAATATGATATTAAGTAATATGATGGAAGAAGATAAAAGAGCAGAGCGCATGAGGCAAACAAAACGACGGGTAAGTTTAGCTAGCATTAGCAATTAGCTGGTTGAATGCGTTATGTTTGTCTGAATATTTAGTTGTAATGTTTTGCAAAAACACACAGCGTATGGCAAGTTCCGTGTTGACAGTGGGCATGACTTATAAGTTGAACCAATCAACGTAGACCTAGGGAAAGGGAACTAAAAAAGTCCTCGCTCTAGACTAGGTACTGAAAGAGTTATAGGAACTACAGTCTGAGCAGACTGATCTCATGAAGTAGCGCGTGTATGAGACGCCAATTCGTATTTCCATTTTTGGCGTGCTATCAAGACGCATAATCGCCTTTCAGCGTGTTTATGAACGCCGTTGACTTAACGTTATATAAATATATGACTTACCTCAACCCCGTCCCTAAACTTAACCGTCACTGGGGTTAATGGCATTTATGACTGGAGATTTGACTGCGTGTTCAGACACGCGGAATGACGCGGACGTTAATGGCGTAGACATATACGCATACACGCGGATACACGCAGATAGCTCAAAATGCGTGGAGATAACACGCCACCTGACTCGAAAGTGGCGTATATGTTTACGCAAAAGTCATGATGTCATGTTGGTCTGAGGAACTAAAAAATCCCCAATTTAGTCCGGTCGGAACACGAGAAAAAAAGGGTTATAGGAACGTTAGGTTCTAGGAACTGCAAAAGTCCCTCCGGTCGGAAGGCGGCTTATGATTTCGGCAGTCCTATAAGATCATTACAAATCACACTCTACAACATGTATGTAGTCTGTACGTTGATGACACCTATTGAATCGTAGGCTACGACGCAAATTAGTATAGAAGAATAAAATTTCCTCAGCATGCGTTCATGGTAAACAAATAGAGCAAGATGAATCGCACTTTGGCAATTGTGTTTTTATGTGAGCTGAAAAAAGCGGATGAAGCGAAAGAGAAGAATATGGATACGGTCATCATGGCTAAGGAAAAGTTTTGAAAATGAAGCTTGAGGTAAGTAGTTTTAAGTTTTAGCAGCATGTCGTGTTGATCAATACACAACATGATATCAATTTCATGTTGCATTTTAATTGGCTAGTCAGTAGGCATAGGTCGTAGCAGCAAACACACTGTGAAATGATACTACTGAATTTCTGACACTGTCAGAAAATTATCACAGGCTAACTTTGGCAAGACCGTGACAATGGCCGTCTTTAAACCTCTCTCACTGTGTAGGAGCCGCGACCACAGAAACCACCACGATTGGTCATCTTTCATCTGGGACAGCCCAAAATCATACAATGTGCACCAGGCATTAGTAACTTATGATCAAATCCTCATTTTTCAGCACAACAATCAAAAAACCCAACAGTGTCAACAAGCCCAGATCAGAATAGACACCATGACTCAGTGGCAGAAACCGTTTGGCCTGATGTGTTGAAAAGATATGAAATTCTGGTCTCTAAATATGGCTCCAGTCCTTGCTTAAATTAGTCTATGGGACCCCCACCACCCCCAAAAATGAGTTTAATTGCCAAGAAAAATCATAGCACTATTAAAGTTGTCGAAGAACAAACAGTGTAAGGCGAGTTGTGCTTCCAAATTGAATACTTGGGGTTTGATCATCAAATCCCTAACCCAAAGTATATGAAGCAATAGTAATGGAGATACTAGCTTTAGCAAACAAAACTAATGAGCTCTTTAGGCGGCTGATGTATGTTCCAGTGCGAGTTAAAACCATTATGAAGCCATTCTCAGACTCCATTAGCAGTGGCTAAAAGACTTCCACTTTCTTCTAGAATATTGATGAAACTAACATTCACGTAATTGATTTTTTAATTGAATACTTCCTTAAATAACTGTAAATCACGCTAAAGACCCATTTCAGTGCGACTCCATTTAGCAAACTGATATGAAAACACTCATCCAAGATTGTGATACTTACATGCCCACTAGGAATGTGACCTCAGGGAGAAATGCGACACTGAAGTCACTGGTTAACTCAAGGGATTTTTTGTTTCAGACTCAATTTCGTTAATAAATGACAGCAGTTTGTGAGTGACAGACAACAGCTTTTATCAATGAACTGAAAATACTTTCACCAGCTCATTGACTAAACGTTTATCATTCCTTTAGCATAACAGCCAGAGCTCCACCTAAGGTTGAAGTGCACTGCATGCTCTATATCCTTTCCCGTCTTTTACAATCTCTACATTATTCCCATCCTCTTTGCTCATCAGTCAATCTTTCTGACCCCACTCTCCCTATATTTCTTCCAGTTTTACACACAACAACTGGTTATAAGTCAAGATACAGTAAATATGAAAACAATCCCTCAAGGCAAGAAAAAAACAAGATCAACAAGAATAAATGGAACAAGATTTCACTTACGGATTCCAGGGACAGGATTCGGCATGTCTCTACATGATCCAGGATTATGTCTAAACAAGCCAAAACAACAGTTACAGGGAATTAGAATCACACAAGTAGATAAAGTGAAGCGGTAAAGTGTATGTTAGCTTCATTGTTTAAAGGTATAGATAGCATTGACGCATACATAGACAATACACACCCACACAATTAAACACATACCTGTGGTTGCCTCACTAAACTCAACAGCAATGGTTTCCTCTTTAATTGTAAAGTTTGTGTCAGGACAGAGTCAGAATGCAGTCAGCAATGTCTTTAGTGTGTGTCAGAGAGCAGAAAGCAAGCAGGGCAGACGGTGCACGCGTGTGCTTGAGTTAAGGAGAAAATAAAACTTGCCAGACCGGTTTGATTGTCTCCCCAAACGTTCCTCCTGCCCTTTTTCTTGTCCTATCCAATCAGAATTCATTCCCACACCAGGAAGTATGTGCCAGATATGCCCTCAGGGTCACCTGATCACAAAAGGAAAGAACCTTTTCCTTGAAACAATTCTCCCATGGCACTTTTTTTGTCTGTGAACTCAGAGCGTTGTTCTGTTAATAGAGAAGACACCGTTCGAAGCTGCGTGACATCAGATTACCTGCTTGTCAATCCTCTTCAATGATACAACATTATTATTTTTTTGTCTGTTTAGGAATTCTCATTTAAAAAAATTATTTTCTTATTTATTTATAAAAAGCGGAACTAGGATAATGAGAAAAACAATGCTGGTACTATATTTCTGAGTGCTATGACATATGATAAAAAAAAAAAAAAAAAATAGGATTTGAATGTAATCGCCATTTTGCTTAAACAGTAAAGCCCTAAAAACGTACTTTAAAAAAAAATAACATCATATTCTTCAGGTTCAAGTGTTTTAATTTTTTCTCAAAGACATAACTTTTGAAAAGCTTCAAAAACTTATATTCAGCCAGAAAGCATCTTGAAAATAATATAAATCCATCACCATGTTGTTTATAAAAATACAATTTTAGCATACAATCTTTTGATCTCTATTTTGCAGCACACAAAGTGAAAGTCATGTGTCTTTATTTAAACTCTCATTTACACACGGAGATGTTTGAAATGTCAATATTTACATATAATACAGTTGATGAAGAGACAAATATGGTATGTTATGTTTTGATACGGTCATGTTGTCTTCTCTTTGTTATACAGTATATGCTCAACTCAACCACTTTGTGTTTGCATTTCAACAAGTTTCACTTAGTTAAACTTGTTGAAATGCAAATTACATAGCCGTTTCCAAACCAGTCAAACAAGCAACGACTATTGACCTGTTTAAGCAGTTTGATTTAGATTTAGCACTTCAGATGTTAACGTTAGCAGATGGCTTTAAGGACTAAATCATAATTTATTTCTGTGATTTTATAATGTTTTTGCTGAATGACTGAAAAAAAATATTTCACCCACACACAGGCAGTGTTTGGAATAGCGCACCACTATATACTGTGCATAGAAATTCATATTTTCCAAATGATACAAATGTCAAAATGTGCTTGACCTCACATGTTCAGTGTGAGAAATGAACTAAGTCACGATTGTTTTTCTTCATTTTTTGATCGGCAAATGATATTTGAACACAAAATTTGATTTAAAAATGTAAGATAACTTTTTATGAGGTAATGCAAGGCATATTAGTGTTGCAAATGTTTATTGTTACATAACAAATACTGTTTTGCATAGTATTATTTAAATATATTAGGCAGGACACAGTGTATACTGCGCAGTATGCTTATATTCCATTCCAAACAGGCTCTGATTCAAGGCAAATATGCTGTGTGAAAATTTGGTGCAATTAATAATTTCATTTTAAATGAATGGCTGTTAATGCGGACACAATGAAATTGTTTAACAAAGAGATATTTTAATCTCTTTTCCATTGCAATGCGAATTAAGCTGACCAACCAATAAGATTCACACTTTTGTACTTTTAGTCAAATGCAGTTACTTAAAACTGTGACTTGATGGCCTATATTCTACAGAGGCGTATTGCATTCACTTGAAGAAAAAAAATCTACTCTGTTTTTCTGAATTAACGAGTTAATTTTTCATGAGAATTTTTTTTGCTCTGTTTTTCTGAATTAATGAGTTAATTTGTCATGAGAAAAAAGTTTTTGTTCTGTTTTTCTGAATTAACGAGTTAATTTTTCATTGTTTTTTTTTTGCTCTGTTTTTCTGAATTAACGAGTTAATTTGTCTGTTTTTCTGAATTAACTCATTAATTCAGAAAAACAGAGCAAAATTTTTTTCTCATGAAAAATTAATTTATTAATTCAGAAAAACAGAGCAAATTCTTTTTCTCATGAAAATTTAACTCGTTAATTTAGAAAAACAGAGCAAAAAAATTTATCATGAAAAATTAACTCATTAATTCAGAAAAACAGAGCAAACTTTTTTCTCATGAAAAATTAACTCATTAATTCAGAAAAACAGAGCAAACTTTTTTCTCATGAAAAATTAACTCATTAATTCAGAAAAACAGAGCAAAATTTTTTTCTCATGAAAAATTAACTCATCAATTCAGAAAAACAGAGCAAAAACTTTTTTCTCATGAAAAATTAACTCATTAATTCAGAAAACGAGAGCAAATTCTTTTTCTCATGAAAAATTTCAGAGCAAATTTTTTTTCTCATGAAAAATTAACTCATTAATTCAGAAAAACAGAGCAAAAACTTTTTTCTCATGAAAAATTAACTCGTTAATTCAGAAAAACAGAGCAAAAACTTTTTTTCATGAAAAATTAACTCATTAATTCAGAAAAACAGAGCAGTTTTTTTCCCCATGAAAAATTAACTCGTTAATTTAGAAAAACAGAGCAAAAAAAAAATTTCTCATGAAAAATTAACTCGTTAATTTAGAAAAACAGAGCAAAAAATGTTTTTCTCATGAAAAATTAACTCATTATTTCAGAAAAACAGAGCAATTTTTTTTTCTCATGAAAAATTAACTCGTTAATTCAGAAAAACAGAGCAATTTTTTTTTCCCATGAAAAATTAACTCGTTAATTTAGAAAAACAGAGCAAAAAAAAATTTTCTCATGAAAAATTAACTCGTTAATTTAGAAAAACAGAGCAAAAACTTTTTTCTCATGAAAAATTAACTTATTAATTCAGAAAAACAAAGCAAATTTTTTTTCTCATGAAAAATTAACTCATTAATTCAGAAAAACAGAGCAAAAACTTTTTTCCATGAAAAATTATCTCGTAATTCTGAGAAAATTAACTTGTTAATTCAGAAAAACAGAGTAGATTTTTTTTCTTCAAGTGAATGCAATTCGCCTCCGTAATATTCCACCCCCCAGTGCCCCGTAAAAAAAAAGTCAAGAAACTGATTTTTTTAGGTAATGTAATCTTATTAAAGTGGATTTAATAAAATTGTTTGCGAAGAATTTTGGGTTTAGGAACCATTGACAAAGTCAGGGTATCGGTATTACTATCGACGTGGAATATTTTTGAACGATACCGAGCCCTAATCTTAAATCGCATGCCTAAATCAGATTCAATTTACATGCCAAAAAAATCGTGTTGGTGTGAACAGACATTTAGCTGAAAAGAAAAGTAAAATTAGTTTGTAGATCTATCTAGATAAATCTATTTCTTTTGCATACATGTATAAACTGTAGTCCTACCTAACCTGGCTACAATGAACAAAATATAGATCAGAAGTGTTCCTCTGCCCGAATAAGAATGCAAGTAAATTTGACTAAGCATCCTGATACTGATATATTGGATAATATTACATAAACTCTATCCACAAGTTTCTGAGGGGCGCTCCTGTAAAAAATAAAGTGGGTGAAAGTTCCGGTGACGCGGCGGAAGTAGCATTCCAATGGTATTTTGTGTGTTAGTTAGCGAAGAGGCTAGCTGTTTTTCGGAGAATTATTTTACTATTTAAAGACGCAAATCTTTATGAGAGATGGTGTTACGGAGTTCATGGACAACATGTGCTGTTCGCGGTTGTATGTATAACCGGACTAAACTAGTTCAGTGGCTTAAACGTGATTGTTTTGAACATAAGCTGAAAACGAAATCAGAGTGTTCCTGCCAACGACTGTAGTTTCCATCACCTCCCAAAAGACGACGAATCTTCCTGTGTACATTTGTTTAAATTTTTAATATTCTATAAACTTTTATCAGCATGTGTTTGGCTGTTCGCTACTGATGTTACACCTAAACTCAGGATCAAAGCCTGTGTTGACAGAATACCAAATGTGCCAGTTAATGTATTCAAGCAGCACATTCATTTATAATTTTGAATAAACTCCAAAGCACAATGACTAAGTGTGTATTTTTTATTTTAATTGTTTGTCAGCTCACACAACTGTCTGTCACCATGCCTTGATGAGTATTGATTATTAATAATGTTATTATAATACTCCCAATCAACTACTGCGGAGGGTAAAGGTACTGTTATTTCACCTTTTTTTAATTTCGTTGAGGTTGTGTTCCCACATCGTTAGCTAGTTTGGATCGCTATAACTTGAATGACTGTCAACTGTTGAATGAACGAGTGTCAAGCATGTCAAATCGCGCTTTGTTTACTTCCAACCGGAAGTCGCGCCCACTTTTGACGCAACGCCTCATGGGGCGTAGGAAACTTGTGGATAAAAATACTGGTACACAGATGCACAGACTGCAAGATAGATTCTATGTTTATCATACAAAAATGTGACTCATAAACTTTGTTCTTGACTGAGCAGCTGGTTTGGTTCAGGGAGTTTGGATTTTTCATGGCTGTCTCAGGACAGAATGCAGTTCTTGTCCTTGTCTTTTCTACTGAGGCTCCGTGTCCTTCTCCTGAAACTTCCTCTCCGGCTCTTATCCTCCTCCTCTTTCTGTCCTTCCGCTCTCTCTCCACCCGTCAGCTGTGGCGGCAGAGGAATGCGCTGGCCCAGAAAGAAGCCTTCCTCCTCCGAGTCTGAGGAAGAGGAGCAGGTGGAGCAGGACTCTTCGTGTCTGGAGCGGGTGGAGTGCAGGGTCAGGCTGCCGTTTCGACTTCGCCTGCGCTCCCCGTCCCGCCATTCCAGAGTTTCCAGACGAGGTCTGTCGCTTCGTGAACCTCTGGATCGTCTGAGGTGCTTCTCCATGGGAAGCTGGCCACCGCTTCCCCGACGGAAACTGTGGTGGTACGACCCATCTGAAAGGGAAGATGCTGGAGTGAGATCGTGATTGATGTGACAACAGCCGTAACAACACAGCTCCCCCAAAACTGAACGTTTGTCATCATTCCTCGCATTTTTTTCTTTTCATTCATGAACAAATCATTCTTTTGAGTCAAATCTTTTTAGTGAATATGCTAACCCAGTTCTGAAAAACAGTGATCATGAAACAGGCTGATCCAGTTCTCTTAGTG